ATCGGAGATAACATGCAGGATGTGACCAACCAGAAAAGTGGTCGACTATGCTTTGAAGCCCCCACTATGAACGTATTTGTGTGCTTTCACAAAGCACCCTCAATGCCAGAACAATTCTTCCCCTCACCTTTCCTGACCTCCAAACTACCTGATATCCCAGGCATTTTGGAGCCACGCTTGCTCCTTCCATTCTCTTGTCCCCTTCTTCCATTCCATAAAGTTGTATTTAAACCATACCTTTAACCTGGCTAACAGCTTTTGCCTCCTACAGGAAGCTCACTTAGGGGAGCAGGGCCTGTGGCCTATGCTCTGCATCAGAAGTGGAGTAGAGCCCACTGGGGTTCTGTCTCATGGGGAGTAGGCCTACTTGGGTGCATCACCCCAATAAATGCCTTTCTTTAACTTGGAAATTGTCCTTGAGGACACTAGGACCTACACATCCATTCCTCATCATTTCAAATAGCACCCCAAAATCTTGAGGTCCACCCTGAACTCATCACCAATGACTACAGAGAAGGTCTAAGTGAATTCTGTCATACCTGTACTGCTCTCCCAACTCTGACCTCAACAATTTTGACTAGAACCTAGAGAGGGGCAAGGCAGAGGCAAATTCTTTCTGGTTGGAAAACATCAAATCTAGTGTAAACCATTCCCCTTATTTCTTTCTTTGCTTTGTGAAAGGTGAAATTATCATTAAGGCAAGTCAAAAAACTATCCACTGATTTGCTTTGAAGAGCTATAGCAGATACCCAGATACTTAAAGTTACTCATCATTATAATATCATGCTCCCAGGCTAAATGTACAACCTGCTTCCCAAATTCCTGATCTAATTCTATCCTTTTATTTTATGTGGCACACAAACATCTTCATGTACACTTCTACCCTCACAAACAGGTTCTGAATCCCCTGGCTTCTTTCTGTACGTATTCTTTTTCTGTGTGTATAAACTGAAAACTGTACCAACCAGATAGCTACATATTGAAATGGATCTTCACAGTCCCCAAAATGGCGAATCATTATATAAGGATTGGTATTAGGACCCAACATGGTCTCAATCTCACTGTCAACACACTGTCAAGCAGGGTGTGTCTGCCCAAATGCACTCTGCCTTGATTCTCAGTCACTACTATGATCCTTAAATGACAATTCATCCAGGAACAAAACATAAATCGTTTGGGAATCTCCGCTCAGGGCCTGAATTATACTCTCAAAGTACCTCTCCCTACAAATCAACCCCAAAACATACCCACAGAGATATGCTCTGACTTACACCCTAACAAAAAAACGTAACACCGACATAGTTCTCAGGTTTCACGCCTGCACATCATTAACTAGTCTTTCTCTGTCTACCTTTCTTTCTCTCCTTTCCCAAATGCTCAAACTCCACTTACAATACATTCCATCACATATGCCCAAGGGCTAGCTTCCAACTATTCCTACTTCACCAATTACCCGTGTCAAGGGAAAAGACCTGAATGTTCTCTTTGTAGCCTAAGGGAAAATCAAATATTTCTCTAGGCATCTTTGAGACCCCTTTGCCTGGGCCCAAAGCTGTTTGACTTTCTAATTTGCAATCTCCCTTCTAACACCCTAATGACAATATCACTTCTATGTCTCTCTCCATTTGGAATTTCACTGAAATATTCTCCATTTTTTTTCTCCCTCAGGTTCTTGGATTTACTCAGGTGAGTATATCTTTTTATTATGCAATGATATTCCACAGCCTCTTTGTTCTATTCTGTTCTTTTTGAATAAGATAATATCCTTCTAGAGCTGAGCACCATTTCACCAACTCTCAATAATATGAATTAAGTAAAATTTCTTTCCTCACATAAGGATTTCTAAATTCATCCTGTTTATTATCTATAATTTTAACCTTTGGAAATATCTGAGGACATTATTGAATTTCTAGTTGGATGTTGTGTTCTCTGAACTACTGGCCCTCTCTTCTGCTATTCTTCCTATGCCATACTTGCTATCTCTATGGTAGCAGCCTTGGCTTGTTTCTACATTGGCAATTTTCTTTCTTCTTCTCCACCTTCTTTTTCAATTTAGAGAACTATTGATCAGATTTGTAAGACTTCAAGTAAATATGTTTTTTCCATATGTTGGGTCCACTCTAGCCCTGGCCAAGAGCCCACCATTCCTGCTTTTCAAGCCACAGTCCAGAAATCCAAACCCCATTTCATACACCACATCCTTATGTCCTTAGACAGCTGTTTACTTCCCAGTCTTTTTTTCTTTTCTGAATCCCTTACCCTCACAGGTGATGAAAACACCACCTGTGCACCTAACGTAATCAGGTTTTTGTTTCATTTGGGGTATTTTTTTTGTCCAAGATTTCATAATCTTTACCAATATTTCTGAGGTTCCTTAGAGCAGCATCATATGTTTCCCTGTGAATTATCTGGAGTGAATACAGATCCTCAGTTTTAGTGAGTCTGGAAAAATTATCCAGCATGGATTATCACTATGTAGCACCATCTCTGCCAAGTCACCCAAAGGTGTCTTCATACCCCTCAACAGTCAGTCACCAGTGACCATAAGTTGTCTCTTTCCATTTCTAGGTCGCTCTTTGGATGGTCTCTATACCTCCCTACCAATATTTTCTGGAGCAAAAGATGCCACTTCTTCCTGAGATGGTCTAGCTTCCCCTCTCCAAGAAGAGCTTAATGTCAATTACACTTAGCTGCACATTTTCAGTAGACTTGGCTCCTTTCTTTTCTCTGTTGTATCCCTTCACACTACAATATATATATGCAAGTAAGATTCCATGTCATTTGTTTTCCTTTGTTTTCTTCTTGAAGCACTTCAATGATTACCTGAAGAGTATATTCCTTTCACTTTATACACTAGAGCAGAGATATATTTGCCCTTTATGCATACACAGTTGTTACTTGGAGACATCTGGTAGATAGAGTGCCAGGCCTGAAGTCAAGAAGACTTGAGTTCAAATCCAGCTTCAGACACTTACTAGATGAATAACCCTGATCAAGTCATTTTAACCTGTTTACTTCAGTTTCTTTGTCTGCAAAATCAGGATAATAATCACACCTATCTCCCAGGGTTATGAGGACCAAATGAGACAATAATTGTAAAATGCTTAGCATAGTGCCTAGCACGTGATATAAAAGTTAGCTATCATTATTAGTGTTTAATGTCATAAACACAAACACAATGCACTTTCTGGGATTCATTGCAAAATTCTTGCAATTAAGCAATCACTAAGTGCTAACCACAGTGCTAAACTGTGAAGATACAAATACAAGCAAAAAGACAGTCCCAGCCCTCAAGGAATTTATATTCTTATTGAAGAAGACAAAATATAAAATATAAAATATAAAAAGGAGCTGAGAAAGAAGGGGATGAAGGGTGATGGTAATTATACAGGTTAAATCGGAGACAATCAACAGAGGGAATACACTAGCATTAAGGGGGATCAGGAAAGGCTCCTTATAAAATGTTTTCCCTTTATGATAGGACTAATAGCTTCTGGGGTTCTCCCTATGGCAATCCCAAGAGGGAATAGCTTTTTCTAAAAGCTATCCCCAGGACCTGATGACCTACCTAGAATAGCTTCCTGGTCATCTAAGGTCATAAAAGTTCCACTCATGCGGAGTGAGGTGGGATGGGGCCTCTGATTCATGTATTTCTGAAGATTATACTGTTGTTCAGTCATTCAGTCTATCCAATTCTTCTGACCCCATGGACTACCTTTGTCAGCAAGGTGATGTCTCTGTTTTTGAGTATGCTGTCCAGATTTGCCATAGCTTTTCTTCCAAAGAACAAATGTCGGTGCAGCTAGGTGGCACAGTGGATAGAGCACCGACCCTGGATTCAGGAGAACCTGAGTTCAAATCCGGCCTCAGACACATAACACTTACTAGCTGTGTGACACCTGGGCAAGTCACTTAACCCCATTGCTCAGCCAAAAAAAGAAAAAAGAAAAGAAAACCAAGGAACAAACGTCTTTTAATTTCATGGCTGCAGTTGCTGTCTACAGTGATGTTTGAGGCCAAGTATATAAAATCTGACACTACTTCCATTTCTTCTCCTTCTATTTTCCAGGAAGAGATGGGGCCAGTTGATAAAATCTTAGTTTGTTTGTTTCTTTGTTTGTTTTACATTAAGGTTCAAGCCAGCTTTTACAGTCTCCTCTTCCAGACATGTTTCAAAATAGACATATATGGTAGAGGATCCTCTAAATCAACAATGTCAAACTCAAATAGAAACAGCCCCTCTAAACCATAGATAAGAATCCCTGCTCCCCACATTGACTTAGAAAATCACATGTTAACATTATCTATCTGGCACACTTGGGGAGTGTTGCCTGTTTCACCCCTCTGCTGTAGAAAAGGTAAGCACCACTCTATCCATGATGCTATTCTTGTTATTTTTAAGACCATATAAAATCCTTCAGTTAATTTAAGAATATCTTATTTCATCCCCAAATCAACCCTGAACTAATAGGGTTCTTGTATCAGCTCCACCCCTAACACCCTTGAATAATGGTTATTTGCATACGTATCTTTTTCATTCTCTTTTTGTAGGCAGCTCATGAGCAAGGAAGGGTAAAATGCCACTGTTCTGTGAGTGGGGGAAACTCTTTCCTCTGTGTGAATATGACTTTCTTTCAGCTCTCTCTTCCCTCAGGGTAGAGATTAGGGAGGAGGAGAATGGGTATAACCTTCTTTTCTGGATCCAGTCTATCACGAATGGTGCTATTGGGCTCTGATTCTTATAATCTAGCCACTGCTCAGATTTTTACAATCTAGGTAATAGCTCACAGATGCTCAGTTTCCTTAAGAGTCTGGCTAATATGGCAACCTTGTCATTGGCTGAAACAAGGCTTGGGTTGAATTCTTTCAGACAGGACTCACATGTTGTGATCTTGGGGTCCCAGCACCATTAACTTCTAGACTTCATCATATGGTTCCCTGAACCAGGAAAAACTGCCTAATACCAAGCTCTTCACCAAGACTACAGGCCATTCACTTACAGTTGGTAGCAAACAGCAGTTACCAGTCAGCGTGTCCATTCCCCCCGCCCCCCATTGTTCCTTGGATGCAGCCTGTGCGTGCTTCCAGTCAACTTCTTCTTTGGAACTCCCTCGAGGCAGGGACCCTTGACAGCAGGTAGCAGTTTCAGAAGCCAAGAACTTTGCCCTTACCCCAAAAGAATTTGGTTCCCATTTGTTTGAGGGGGTAATGATGAAGATGGGATCTAGACCCCAGAAAGGAAAAACCCTGGACTTTCCCACATGACCAAATCTCCGGCATTCCCCTTAGGCTATAATCCCATTAACTAGCCTTTCATTGTGGCTTTGCCCAATCAGTTACCCTTAACCTAGCCTATACCTCCCTATGTCCCCTGGCACTTCCCACCCTTTCTCCTATCTAGTCTCCATTCTCCTTTGGCTGCCTGCACCTGGAGTTCTATTACCTCATGGACTACTTTGCCACTCTTGGATCCCTCCCATAGTCTTTCTGTACATAAGGTCCATCTTGTCTCCATTAAGATGCTCTGATTCTTGTAATCTAGCCACTACTCAGATTTTTACAATCTAGCCAATAGCTCACAGATGCTCAGATTCCTTAAGAGTCTGGCTAATATGGCAGATCTTTAATAAACCTTGTCTTTGGCTGAAAAAAAAAATGGTGCCATTGGTTCAGAAATGAAACTGATCTTTATGGTAGATCCCTTTAAGGCTGTCCTTAGAGCCTTTTGATTTATTTATAGGAGTAGCTATGTTGAGGTTTAGGGGTATTGGGACCCCAAAATCACAACACCCAGGTCCTGCCCAAAATAATTTGACTCAAGCCTTTTTTCAGATGAAGACAAGGTTTATTAGGAATCTGAATGTTAGTGAGCTATTGTCTAGATTTTAAGAATCTGAGCATCTTAATGGAGGCAAGATGGACCTTATGTACAGAAAGACTGTGCCAAGTATTTTGGGGTGACTGGAGGAGGAGTTTGAGGAAGATGTGGATGGGAGTGGCCAGTAAGCTGGGGTGAAGAGGACACCTGGGACCTGGACCAGAGGCCAAGGGAGAATGGAGCCTAAATAGGATTAAAGATGAGAAGTGGCCAGGAGTCATCTGGAGGTAATAGACAATAGAGGGCTAGATAACAGAATTGGGAGGTTGGGTATAGGCAAATAACAAAAGGCCAGTTAATAGGACCATAGCCTCAGATGAATGCCAGAGATTTGGCCTTGTGGGAAAGTGCAGTTCCTTTTTGGGACTCAGATCCCATCCTCATTAGCTAAATCCCAAATTTGTATGGCTGGTTTATACAGTCCAGTCATGTTCTTCCAGTTTGCTCCAATAGCTCTTACTAGCTCTTACTAGCCAAGCTTTTGGTTTCCTTCTAGTAAGAAACACTTCCTTTCTTATTTTTTATGGTCAATCAGTTTTGTAATGGGTAAATGAGATCTTAATTGAAAGCAACAGATAGAGGAAGAGGTGGGAACCTAGCACATTGGGCTAACAATAAAAGGAAAAGGTGTTTTTTTTTTCTCAGAGAAGTTCTTCTAATTGTTCCAGTCCTTAAGGCTGCCTCTTAGTAGCTACAGATTCCTGTCACAGCCACTCGTGCCCTAACTATCTCAGCACCTTGTGAGTTGAGAATTCCCTAGTCTCAGGTCTATCTCTAATCCTTCCTTACTTGCTCAGCTGTCCTCTTCCAGATTAATAGTCAAGGTCAGCCCCTCCCCTAAATCTGTCTGCCCCAGAGGCAGGCTACATTTTTCTTTAATGTGACTTGTTATTTCACTGGTCATGGGAGCTCCTGATAAGGAACTACTTCTACCAATGCAATTTAGCACAACCTCTGCAACTTTTGGAGTTAAGGGAGTTGCCTGGGGAACTGAGGGTGTAACTGACCTGTTCTGTACTGTTGGGATTATTGCACAGCCAGGATCTATCTGAGGTAGCACCTGAACCCAGTTCTTCCTGACTCTGAGGCAAGCTTTTTATCCATTACATCATGCTGCCTTCTCTAATGTCCCCCTTTATTCCAATTATTCCCCACAAGAAAATACAATCCATATAAATAAATAAAAACACATTTAAGTAACTACTATATTCCAGATACCACCTTACATTCTAGAGATATAAATTTTAAAATAATATGGTCCTTCATCTCTTTTTTTTGGAGGGGGGGAGAAGGGAAAGGAGGGGAAAAGGAACACAATTGGGGCTAAATGTTTTGCCCCAGGATCACATAGCTAGTAAGTGTCTGAGACCAGATTTGAACTCAGATCCTCCTAACTCTAAGGCTGCTGCTTTATCCACTGTACCACCTAGCTGTCCCCTAGTCTCTACTTTTAAAGAGCTTAAATAATTTATTATATAACACATATAGAGGAGTGTGGAAAGTAAAGAAGTTTTGGTCTATGGAGTCACAAGGATTGTAAATAGAACCACAGAGCAGTTGATAGTCATACTCAGAGCAAGGGTGGTGTGAGGGAATGGGATAGTGACTAGGCTAATCTCAAA